CGGTACTCGGCCGAACACTTGGTCTATGTCAAGAAACAAGAGTCTTCCTGTATAGCCGGAATCGTTTGATTCTGAAATGTTATTAAGGTAATGCACTTGACAGGTGGTGCACGATCGCTTATTGAGAAAACCATGCTTCGACTACTTGATCAGGCCAATAGAATCAACAAAATTTATCATCTCCATTCTGACCAGCTTTTCAAATAGCCGAGCGACTGTCTGAGTGTGGTGGATTGGTCGCTAGTTATCAATCACTTATTTGGGACCTCCTTTATGCCGAGGCATAATAAATGAGATTTTCAATTGGTCTGGAAAGCGGCCAGATTCCAGCGATAGAGTGAACATATTCATCAGTAGCAATGATATATCGGGTCCTCCTAGTTGAATGGTGGTTGGTAAAATGCCATCAGATCCCAGCTTGGAAGATGGCCTGTAATCTGATAACTTGATGGATATCGTTGAGCGAGATATCGACTGCTTAAGAGGTTTGTTTCTGTGAGCTCTGTGCACACAGGCACCGGGTCAGCTTCGCGACTCATGGTAGAGGCAAAAATGTCACTGAATGCTTCACAGATTTCAGCTGGGTCATGGAGTAAGTGACCCTCACCACCAACAATTTCGGTAATCAGAGGAGAGCAGTCACTGGTTCTACGATGCAGTATTTTGACAAGCTCCCTAGCTTTGCAGCTTGTCCGTAGGGTTGTATGTTCTCCGTCTTTTTGTCGTGTTAATTGCGCGTGTTTGACTCTGCTGGTAAATTCGTGCATTTGTAAGACAAGTGAAAAGTCATGGGTCCTTCTGTATCTTGAAACTAACTTTCTGGTTTTCTTGCTGATTAAGTGCTCGACGGAATCTTTTAGATATGAGGGGTATGAATACATTGTGGAGCGAGGAAGGCTACAAGTTGGTGGATTTGGTTACAGAACTGCTCCACAGCGGAGTACACACTGGTAGCGAGGAAAAATACATCCTAGTCAAAGAAACGAATGAACTGCTGAAAGCATTCCCATTTCATCTTATGTGTTGCAACTGACGTTATAGAGGCGTTTAGTGACCATTTTAATTTGGAAACTGAGTCGGATCATGTTATGGTCGCTGCCAGGGAGATTGTTTAAGATCTCAGTCTGTGGATTGGTATCCCCAATGTGAATATTGAGTCCAGTACATTGGCGGACCTGGTTGGACTGGTAATCCATTGTGTCCAGAAAAGAAAGAAAAGAGGTGTGTAAGGTAGACGTTGTTTGGGATGACCAACGTATTTTCGGTAGGTTGAAATCGCCGGCAATAATCTTCTGGCTGTGTGGCAACTCCGATGCGAAGTCATATGAAGAAGTTATGTTGTTGATACTTACGTTAGACGCATTCGGTTGGTTGTAGATACATGCGAGCAGTGTGTAAGATGAGACACCCGCAACTGACAGCCACATAGATTCAGGGATACTTTCCAATTGTGATTGGTCTATAGGTTTAGCTGTAAATGTTTTGTGTTGATATATAATACAGCCTCCACCTTTTCTGCCGCAGCCATCTTTTCGAAATAAGTGCTAATTTGGTATCATCAGAGTAGAGTCAAATGTATCTGAAGAGCACCATATTTCAGTGACGAAGATCCCTTGTGGGTCATTGAACTGTGCAAGTGTGTTAATAAAATGAAGTTTGTTGATTATGGATCTGACATTAATCAGAGTCACTGAGAATGTATTAAGTATTGGGGAATGATCGCTGTCCGTTGTGTGATCGTCTGAATCTTTGCATCCGATCATGGTGCAAATGGTAGATAAGTGCGAGTATGGTGGGCCTGAGTTAACCATTAGAACGTTTGTTGATAAGGGTAGCATGTCATGTGTGGATATCGAGACAGTTGGGGGCACGACTAGCTTTGTCATCTGTACAAATTGGAGGAAGAGTGGGATCAAGGTGTTAACCTCCGCCGGATGTATCTGAGATGGGAATGGGTGCGAGTCCATTCCCGTCGCCGCTAAAATATGGTTGTTGGAAGAAGTCGCTTGAGAGGTTGTAGGAACATGGAAAAGAGCAGATGGTAACATAGTCCTACTGGTCGAAGTCCTTCAATTATCTGTGTACTTCCAGTGATTGTTGTAGAGCGTAGGATGATACTTAGGCGTAACCAAGAGACAGTTGTTATTGGTCTTATTCAAAGTGGTAGGTTGTTTGCCCTGGTGATTGTAGGAGGTTGGTCGATAGGGAATTTCTGGTACCACCGAGTATTTAGTATCCATGGGTTTTTTTAAAGATACAGATCCCTGGATTGGGGAAGTCGTCCTTTTGGCGACAGTGGACTACGAATTACATCAGGTTGTCTATCCTTGGAGGTGTCTTGTTGGTTTGGACCGGGTTGTGATATATTCAACGAGTTGTCATTACTCCACTGTTCCAAGCACTTAGACTTTCCTTTAATCCTTATGTATGAAGAGTTCAATATCATGAGTATTGTTGTCAAAAATAGGAGAACCCGCTTTATCTGTTCCTTCTGTAGAGGGTGTTTCAGCGGAGCAAGGAAAGACGGCTTTGGAGCTAATTGATAACGTTGTTAGATTATCCATGCCTAAATCAATGTATCTAGTATTCACCTTGGATGCACTCGTCTTTTGTACGTTTGGCTGAGATTTCTCGAAGAGCCTAGTTATTTTGTCCGGTGTTCGCGGCACAGTGCCAAATTCGGACCTTTGTAGGGGTGTCCTATCTGGTTTACTCAAAATGCCATTAAATTGGGTGCACTGGCCTAGGAAGGGTCCACAATGGAGGAATCGCTGCGCGACTTCCTCGCTCAAAATTTTGAAAATAATTGGACAACAATGTTTCGGTGTCTTCTTTTTTAAACGTTGGCATTTGCAGTCAACGTTAGACATGTTACAAGCTTTCAGTATCGTTAGTTTTACTTTATCCACTCTCAGCCTGTCTGGAACATCAAAAACAATTACATTTTTTGCTATGCATATCCCTCCGTGCACTTTAGAGGCAATTTACTGCCTTCCTTTTCCCATTAGAACAAGATCAGTCTTCTCCAATGGTTTATTGATGTAGTCAAACGTAATCTGGTGGCCTTTGAGGGGTTCAAAGCGTGTCAGCGTTTTTCTCATCTCATTACCTTGTCCTCATATGCTGCTCGGTGTGCGCAGATGCAGCAGCGGCCTCAACATGGGGTATTCACCGATGTAATATCCAGTGTTTCATGATAAGGTCAACCCTAGTCTCTTGCACCGGTCTTCATTTGACCCACCTAAACCGGGGATGAGCCTTGTGGCCACATGCTGTACTTGCTCAATCCTTTGCACCTCGCCCCGAGTGAGCGGACAGTAGGCGGATGAGCTGTACTCTAGCATTGGTCTGATAATAGAAGAGAAGAGGCGAGTGGCAACCTCTTCGGATCAGGTATAGATGCTGCGTTTGAGCGCCCAGAGCATGCGCAGTCCGTTTCGGTAATGCCTATTTGTATTTTCAACGAATTTCAAGTCGCAACGTGAGAGTACGCCGAGGTCTTTCACGAATCGCCATGGGTGTACCTGTTGCTCGGCCAAATTGTAGACTCGGCCATTACCACCTTTATCCGGGCTCATGAACACCGAGTTCACCGGGTCGATAGGAAAATTGATCTTTACTGACCACATGGAGGGGCGGTCAAGGTCACGCTGAAGCAGCTTGCAGTCCTCGGGGTCCTCAGTTGCCCTCCATACCTTAAGGTCATCTGCAAACAACGCGCAAGGTGAACTGAGAAGCTGAGGCAAATCGTTGATGTGGATCCGGAACAAAATGGGCCCAAGGATTATGCCCTGCGGGACGCCACTGGTCGAGGGATGCCACTCGGTCAGGTGGTTGTCCACCTGCACCCTCCGCGTCCGACCAATAAGGAAGTCACTGATCCACTGGTGCAGTGAGCCACCAACACCGCACACCTTCAGCTTCCGAAGGAGGATCTCATGGTTCACCTTATCAAACGCTTTACTGAAGTCGATGTACATAAAGTCAACCGACTTCCCTTGGTTTAGCGCTTGCAATCATTCGTGCCTCGGGAGTAGCAGGTTTATGATGCATGACCGACCTTTCATGAAACCTTGCTGCTCGGGTGTCAAGATGCTTTTCGACTCTAGATGCTGCAGAATATCAAGCTTCACGATCTTCACGAGTGTCTTAGCCAAAACAGAGGTCAGGCATATCGGTCGGTAGTTGTCCACCCTGCTCGGATCGCCGCCTTTCGCAATCGGTTTCACCATTAAGCATTTCCAGTCGCTCGGCAATGAACCAGCGGACAACGACCTGTTGAATAGCTTAGCCACTGAAGGCGAGATGATGGCCGATAGTGATTTGAGGATCAGGGGATGGGGCCCGGCAGGCTTGGCACCGTCAAGACTGACGAGCAATTTGCACACATCATCAACGCTGCAATCCAGGCTGTCCAGCTCGGTAGGGGCGATATGCGTCAAACATCGCACAGACTCCTGGTTAGCTGCGAAAACGGAAGCGAATTGCGTGGCCAATGCGGAAGCACGCTCAGTGTTGGGAACTACGGGCTGTTCATCCGAGCCCTCCAAAACAGATATATTAACTGTCGGTTTCAAGCGTCGCTTCACGTATGGAAAGATCCTCCTGGGAGCTGTTTTTGCTGCGGTTGCAAGATGCTCTTCGAATTTTCGGCGTTTACTCGTTTTCGTGTTATTGCAGGCATTTCGTTTCCTCTTGTACGCCTCGTAATCTTCCGCAGCGTTAGAGTGCACGAATTTCTTCTATAGCTGGCGTCGCCGTCGAACCACTTTGCCATACTCATTGTCAAACGAGTGTGGCTTGACTGGTCCGGCTTTCCGATATTTGAGGGACACCAATCGGGTGGTGATGCTGATTGATGATGATGATGATGATCGAATCTTGCAAACGATATCCTCCACTCAATCGCATTGATTTGCCGCAGTCATGTCCATTTTTTACATCAACGTTTTGTACCACCTCAAACGATGCACATCTTGTCTCTTTCTCTCTTTCTTCAGATCTAATCGGAGAGCTATCCTTGGTGATGGGGACTACTTCGCGTAAGTTGCACTCGATCGCTGCCGCCACCACATTCGTTCACCACTATCTCTGTTTGCCATTCGGTAGCCTTAAAGGTCACAAGCCCGCCTTGTAATCCGAGGGCGCGGGTTCGATCCTGCTTAGGAACCGGGTGACCCTCCAAGTATTCTTAACCTACGCGCAACTGTTGGTGGTGGTTGCGCGGCAGTGAAGCGTCGATACTGCGTACTGGCGTACTGGTGATGCATGCTGGTGCCACTACCTGGGCGCCGCGAACGATTGAGTGTGTCTCTAGACGGATCGCTTTTTGTTAACTTTTCACCATCATCATTTCTCAAATCTACTTGCACTTGAGACATGTGTACTTCATAAAGTGCATTCACGTGAAACCGCCGTCAAGTACTGTCTTAAAACTAGCCAATCGATTGCTCTGCATGGCGTCGAGTCGATTTCACATATGCATTTGCGAAACCAATCCCACCATAGCCATGCTCCTTTCATGATTATATATCACTATCACTGTGTATTTTTTTACCTGACACTCACTCGATCTCTTCTCTCTCTCTGTCTACATTGGCGAGTAATCATGCCAGCTAGAGCTCCTCGGGTTGTTGGCTTCTTTCTCTGTCACTTCTCTCGCGTGTTGGGTAATATTTATCAATTTAAACACATCCACTGTCTTTTCGGATGCCTAATCTCATCTTAACGATAGCCTTGGAGGATGAATCGCGCTATATCACAGCTAGATACATTGTCTTAACTACCGACTCGCTGGGGGAAACCGGATAATATACGCTGAGCGGATCATGGGAAACTATCGTCTAATACTTTTTCCGCATGCGTGTGGGCTATCTTTTGTAGCCTCTTCCCTCTGCATGTCGTAACGGGCAAGTCACGACTAGTCGACCAGTCAGTTGTTGCCGTCCGTCGTGACTCGGTGATCTTCTCTCCCCCCATACGAGACAGATGGAATGCGCATTACGGACGCGTTTCGAAGGAATGAAACAGCAGTACAGTGCCTTCCACGCTGCCTGACTTGGCAAGCTCTCACTGAGGCCTTGCTATTGTTTGCCTCCAGATGACTAGTTGAGTGCGTGTCTTCCCTCTGCAGCGTTGGCTAAGGGGGGGGGGCAGTTGTGAACCTTCAGTCATCGGAGTAGGCTGTGTTGGCCGATCCTGACACAACACCTAGCAACGCGCGTTAATCGCGTTGGTCATTTGCTCACTTCCACAAGCACTTAACCTTGCTGATGCATTGTGCACCGTGACCCACCCAGATTGGTGAATGTGACTCGCCATGGATCATGACGTCAAAACTCGGGTACCGGTGTCAGGTTGTCTTTAGGTAAGAGGTTACAACCCGTTTATGATCACGGTGTGATGAGTGGGTGACACCATTCAAGTCACCCCTGGTTCTAGGGCACACAAATTGTTATGGTTATCTCCGCCCCGTCTTCATACTTGATTTAATCTCGATTTGCTGCAGCTTGGTACCAAATTCCACCGAAAGCTCTAACATATTCTGTCATTTGGTGGTTCCACCCACCTCTCAGCATGATTCTCCGCGTGCCAGTGTGCATTTAAACTCAGATTAGCAGAGCCACCCCGTGGGTTATGCTATCGTAGCACCGGGGAAATTATCACCTTCGGGCACAATTAATTAGTCGTCCACGCTTACAGTGACAGTGGCCACAGCTATGTTCGCGTCAAATTCGCGGTCGGAAAACTGTCATTTATGTGGGAAAAGGTAGATGCTATACCCTGTTACTTCTTAATTAGGTGTGGCCTGCTCATGAATTTTATGAGGTACTGGCGAGGAGTCGCCTCTGGGTCACGTAAACGACAAATGCGGAACCTTAAAACCTGGCGAGCGTCTAAGAGTTTTCAATCACCTAAGAGATATGACCGGATCGTTTATCGGACAATTACTGGCTCCAAGGGGCAACAGTAGATTTAGATGTGTGTCCAAATTTTTCGCAAGAAGGACCACATTTTTTGAAGTAAAAATATGTCGGACGATATTCAGTCTGACATTAAGATAGTAACAAACATTACTCATGTCATACATTTTCTATTCCGTTTTTAATGTGAAGGGTGAGACTGAGAACTTGAGATCTTTCTTTTCTGATTTAGTTAAGACCCTTTTAGCAGAGGCACTAGATTGACTTTCCCTTGTTAGTTTAAAATAAACGGTACATCATCGATTTTTTCTAGCATTTGTGGCTATTGAATTCTGTACTCATAACATCCTTATTTTTTGTAATCTATATAATCTCGTCTGTGCGAAAAGAATCCAAGGTTGAATTTATTATTTCATGATGAGGCCGCGGGCCAGTTGAAATGTTATCGCGGGCCGAACTTTGGACATCCCTGATTTAGATGTTATCTAAACTGAATTAATCAACAACTAGGCTAAGTCAAATGGCATCACACACCCAGAGAAACACTGTACGGCCGTTTCATCCTTTCGAGAATCGTCGGAAGTGGACATTTCATCTTACCTTTGTTGGGCTCGAATCCGCAACTCGACTGTTGCCAGTCTTTGGTGTAGGCAACTGAGCTACAGGAGGCGATAACAATCGTCGTGGATGAGTTACTAGATGTGAAATAACGTCGCTCACTGTCCACTGATTTGTGTGTCAGTGCCATGCAGAGGACAGAGTGGCCCGCTCACCAACAACGAACTTACCAAACCCAAACCACCAATTGACTTATAACATATAAGCGGTTTGGTCTGCGTGCTGATTACGGAGGAGGAGTAAGGCGAGTAGAATTTAGTGCCTAACAGCAATTCATCACACATAGACTCAGTCAGATAGCCCTAGCATGCTTGGAAAGACATTGCACAGCCGTTTTATTCTTTCAGGAATCATCGGCAGTAAGCATTCCATCTGTCTTCTCTGGGGCTAGAACCCGCGATCCTAATCCCGCAAGTCCGTGCGCAAGACCACTGTGGACAAGAACGACCGACACGATTAAATTACTTATTGTGAGCACTCACCAATGCAACCCTCTGCTCCTCTGATTCACACGTGCATCGAGATGTGTTTTTCCTTGGAAGTGCATTTTCTGGTTATCTTCATATCAATCTGCTAACCCGTTGACTCGTAGGCTAGAGGTAACGAGCTTGTCTCGTAATCTTGCTGTGCGGGTTCCAGTCCGCGTATGGGTGGGCCTCCTCGCGGTATACTCAGCCCGCGTGCGACTAATGGTGCTCACACGACAGCGAAGCGCCGTTACGGCGTACAGCTGATAAATTATTTTATTTCATTATCAACCTACTAACCGATCCTAAGTGAGAATATATTGGGTTGTCCCATACTTTCTTTCACATCTTTGATTTTTCAGACTTTTTCTATTTCAAATCGGGTTGTTGCCAAAAAGCTGTGGCATGTTGGAGAATGTTCTAGAAGCTTTAGCCCGAAGGTATAGAAGGGCACGCGCGCCACGGGTTAATAAACTGTGAATCAAAATGGATCAGCACCAGTTACGCTCGATTATGCTTTATGAATATCCGTTGAAGATCAGTGTAAGGAAAACGGCCGGGAAGCTCAACACTGCGTTTGGGCCAGGCACTACTACCGATCGGACTGTGGGTCACTGATTCAAGCGCTTCGACGAAGGCGATACGAGCTATGAAGCTCAACCTCCTTCTGGCTAGCTAGTCGCCTTTGACGAAGACGCCCTGCGCCACAAACTGGAACTACATCCGGATAGTAGTACCAGAGATTTGGAGCAGGAACTTGGATACGGCCGTAGCACCATCGCTGGTTATCTAAATGAGATGGGCTACCGAAAAGTGATGTCTCGATGAGCACATCATACATTGACCGATCACGACCGCGTTACACGCGTGACCATCTGCGAAGTCTTCCGCTGCGACCGCACAGACAGGACTTCCTCAAATCGATCATCACTGGAGATGAGTCCTGGGTCTACTACGAGAACAACACGCGCCACGCCTACTGGCTGCCTCGCGGTGAAGACCCGCCAGCTCAATCAAAGCCCGAGTTCCATGCTCGGAAGATTATGCTCTCGGTTTTTTGGGATTGGCAGGGCATGCTGTTTTGGGAACTGCTCGACAGCAAGCAGATAATCAATGCTGACTTATACGGAGAGCAGCTCCAGAAGTTGGCCGCAGCAGTACGAGAGAAGCGTCCGAAACGACTCACTGTCACCCTTCTCCAGGATAACGTTCGACCTCACATTGCAAACTCGACTCGCCACATTTTGGAGAAACTGGGCTGGACCACGGTACCACATCCACCGTATAGCCCTGATATTGCTCCATCAGATTATCATCTCTTCCGCGCTATGAAGCAGCAACTGCGAGAGAAAAATTTAAAGACTACAACCAGCTCAAAAGTGACCTCGCCGAATTCTTTGATCGCCAGCCTCATTCTTTCTGGGAGGAAGGCATCCAATCTTTGCCCAGTAAATGGTTACACATCATTGATCATGATGGGGATTATTTTTTGATTAATTGGTTTCTTTAGATAAATAACATTTAAATTAACAAAAGTGTCAAAATGTGAAAGGCATTATGGGACAACCCAATAGTTAAGCTGGTGATACCACCACCTCCATTTGAGACTTGGAAAGCACGTTTCTTTCCACGTACAAATGAGCAATCAAAAGTTACGGGGGTTGACCAATGGAAACACGCCTCTGACCGAGCTCTCTCTGCCCCACCCTTGCTTCTTACTTCACTGGCGTCCGCACCTGCTTCTCTTTCCAAATGACCATCTGGTTGGTAGATCATTTTGAGACACTCGTTGCGTGAATGGTTCACAGCGCGCACTCTCAATGTGGACCGTGATTCGCATTAAAGCGAACCTCAGCCAATTCGATCACTGGGACCGTAACTGATGAATCGGATAGATATTGGATGTTACTCACTCGGAAACTCTACACTCCATGACATGTGTCGAGCTTAATTGGTCTCATCAGCTAGCTATAACAGACATAAAGCTCGGGACTGCATTGGGCTGTTATTTGGGACGGGCAACGCTTGGCACAACGGTTAATGACTGATCAGTGAGTAATTTGGAATCACTTTTTGTGTGATTGGATTACGGCGCATTGAAGTAAACTATGGTCAAGTCGATTACTGGGATCGTAACTGATGAATCAGCTGTAGTATTAGGTGTTTCCGACCCGAGAACTCTGCACTCTGATTGTTCGCTGTATATTAAAGCACACTGTCCGAAGTCCCGGCAGCCTAAGTTAATCCATCTCGATAAGCATACTGGTGCTCGCCATCTTCCGATTATCTAAGCAATAGGACACAAGGTTATTGATTCCACTGCATTAGTAGAGTGTATTTACAAAATTAAATGTGTACAATGTGAAAGAGCGATGTCCAAGGTGTATCAACTTGGTCTCTGGATCCGGGTACGCTGCGAAACGACGGGTAACGAACTCGGCACACGCAACGTGACATAGGAGTCCCAAAAGGAAACAATGCCTCCGCTAACCGAAAATGGATTGTTGGAGCGCTAAAACAAGTGATAACTTCAAATAGCGATGCTAAAAATGCATGAAAACACTAGGATTAGTTTCGCAAATAATACCATACGTTATTTGTTGTAAAGAATTGAGTAATCATTACAAAATTCTACTTTTGTGGCTACGACTTTGCCACCAGAATTGTTTTTAATTCCATTTGAGAAAGTGAAACGTGATGTGTCCGTTCAGTAGTGTTACCAACAATCTTGTGTTTATTTTTGAGACCTACTGTGTTAACCGGAATTTTAATCGAATTAGTCATGCTGCGCATTAAGCACCGCTTTGTTCCGGTTGAGTGGCCGGACGGCTTTTACCATAGTTCACATTCACCGACAAACTTGACCAAACAGTTCCACGCATCTGTTTGGAAATCAGTGGGGTGCATTGTCCTCAGTGCATTCGATCTCAGGTGCGTGGGTGGCGATATCAAAAACGACTGTCATCGGCACCACGAGCGCTACAAATTGTTTGGATGAAACTAGACCGGACAATTGGTTAACCGTGCAGTCACGGTAAGTATTCTAGGTGCGCTACTGTCTGGCTGGCTGTAGACGCTGTACCTCTGACTGAATTTGGAGCTAATCCGCAGGGCTCGATCGTCTCGACGTGCCTCATATTCCTCCGATCGGTCCCATCAAACGCAGTCAGCAAGAGAAACAACACCCGGGTGTTGCAGAATCACATCGAAGCTGTCCGTCCCTCGACTTACGTGTGTCTACTGACCGAGTTTCGTACACGGTTCAATGTTGGCGGGTGAGTGAGACCAAGAGGAAGCCATTTGAACACGTCACTCCTCACCTTTGCTGTTCATTGTACTGCTCCGCGCTTTTGACTTTATTACGGTGAAGAACTGATTCACTGTTGGTAAGTATGATGCCAGTCTAGATGGATGGATCAGCTAATGGAATGTTTGCGGTTCCTCCCCCTGCTGGCGCCTTCTGTGTAGTGCGACAACGCAGTGTGGATTATTACCGTAGAGCGCACTTCTCGCCGCATGCAACGAACGCCCTAATTCCCACGAATCGCACATAGTTGCCATTCCCTGTAAATTTTCATCATGATCCACTGAAGATGTCGCTTGTTAACTATTGTTCGGCGTGTGTGTGTTTGCACGTGCATGTGCGCACACCAGAGCCCTGTTGTGCCCGTGATGTGACGATGGATTTTTCGATCAGCATTGGGCCCGACTCTGGTAGAGAAATTCTCAACCAGGCTTAATTGGCTTCGTACAATTTTCTAATCAACGGATTTGTTACCTGTTCGATCGGTGTAGTACCTGGGTCAATTCACTAAGTCCATTCGCAGATTAGCTCCTGTAGGCAGTACGGTGTACACTTAAAGAATGGGAACAGGGCACTCCACACGGAACACGCTTACGGCAGTGACTCAGTCTGGGCGCAAGCATGTTGATTATGTCACCGATCAATCAAAAAACCACTCGTCTAACCAACTGAAGGCCACGTAATGCGCGCACGCTTGACAGGTGGAGGGAATTAGCAGTGACACGTCCACAACAAATACGAGTGGTAATTTAGCGTTCGTCGCACCAGCTTTCAAATCAGATAGTTCTCCACATGCGCGAAACAACACTAGACCGCAATGTCAACCTGTTGGGTATCATCAGTATTGCGTTTCCATCGGATCTGTCAGGATTCGAACCCATGACCACTAGCGGCTTGCACTGCCAGTCAACAACTCACGCTGGTGCAACGAACTCTCAATTAATTACAACAGTCCCGCTCTCTGGCTCTCCTTGGCAATCGAAGTTGGTGGCATAAAGTATGAGAAAGCACTTCCGAGTGAATTGTTAGCGAGACAGTATCAAGCGTTTGCATTCTGGATCGGATAAGATAGCGTCAGATTGGGTCGCTCACCGAAGCGTTCGAACCTGAGAATTGTGTCCTACAAAGTGCCATGCACCACTGGGAATTGGTTCTCCAGTCATATCCTTGTCAACGAATGACTACGGCGAATCTTTATCCATTCAGGCGAACTGTGGGCAAACGGACACCTACCTGTGTACGACCTGCATTATCAAATCGATGTTGGAGGCTTGAGTTTAACAACCGCCACAGCGCGTCAGCAGATGACCAGCGGATAAAGTCCAGTTAGTGGGCATTCGCTTGCTCCACCAAGTATGGTCAACGTTGCATGACGGGCACCGGTGAACATGGCCTCCAAAACCCACTCACCACTACTCTGATCCATACGACAGCTTCGCAGCGTCGTGCTCGATGGGACTGGCTTAAGACGGAAAAGCCGTGCTCCTTCCACGTCTGTGTGCATAGACATTATAACTCGATTGTCGCTTTTCCGAGCGAAGATAGAGGAACAGCTTCGCGCAGTTGGAACCGGGAACCAATGTCACAGCACATCTCCCAACTGGTCGGAGGATGGTTCAGCACTTTCATGTATTACTTCCGAAGCTTGGAACAGCCGAACTGATGCGAAACACTCTAGACATAGGGATGAAAGGAAGTAGGCGAAAATGACTTAAACCGATATATATATATATATATATATATATATATATATATTTCTAGGCTAGTATACTGGCCTATCAATGTGTTGTGTTGCAATTCGAGTGGGGCTGGCGTAGGTTGTAGAGAAGTCTACAGTTGCCACGGTTTTTTGCTCCTTCTGCCTACAACGTCGACGAACCTAAGCACTACAGAAATGTGGGCTGAGATGGTAATTATGATGGTTACACCGCGCCTCCGAGTGACTTGGTAACCGGTATCCGTATTTGTCAAACTTGTACACCTCTTGTATGAACTCATCCCTTCGTACTCCGATGTTAGCATCTTCTACCACATATGGACCGTGAGGTTGCCAAAGCAGTTGGCAACTACGATAATCATGCATCCAACCGGCGTGCGTTTGGTGACTATTTGTGAGCCAGAACAAACTGGTAGAAGGATGCTTGCTTGGCATACATTTTGTGACCAGCTTTCAATTTGCTATCATCAGTTTCTTGATATTTGTTTAAACGCATCATTTCTTTAATTTGGTTCACCGACACACGTTCTTAATGGATAATACCGTTTTCTTGGACGTACTGATTGGTTCCTACATTTATCGCTCCTCATTCGCCTTCGTCCTTCACGAGCTCTCATGTTGCTGGTTGGCTCTGATGTGTTTTAGTAGCTTTGCTCCTGACACCGGTTACACCCTATATAAGAGAAATGGTCTTCTCATGTATACGGTTTTGCACCGACTCGTCTTTCGTGTTCTGCTTGCGGTTGTCGGCGATACAACACAAGGAGCTGGAGACCTCAGTTGCCCATTGAAGTTCTCAACCCCTGAGCCTCACGTTTAGCCGATGTTGCTGAGCATGGTGGCTCATATGGGGCTCTGAATGATTGTTCAGTCAATTGGACCAATGCCTTGGTCACTGTGGCGCGACTTCTTGTCTGCTGTGGATCGCGGTGCCACATGAAGAGATCGTTTCATCCCACGAGATACGTGTCACCTGGCTTTTGACATGATGAATGCGTAGTCTTCCGGACGTCAGTGGTACAGATGCACGCTGACTTTCATGCGAACTACGTTGCTCCCATCGAATCCGACTCCAAGGCTACTCGCACAGCTTTCTTGCTTTGACGTAACACTCTCGATTGCGATCTCTCTCTCTCTCTCTTAGCGCGCACCATTGAGCATAAGCTCGAGCTGGTTAATTTATTCTTAGCGGTACTCTGTTGCTTGAATGGACTTCCACCATGCACATATTGCTTTGATGTGACACCTCGTTCTTCTCATCGCTTGTTGTGAGGACGAAGTATTACTCATCCGCGTGCTGTCCCTGTTGCTCTTCCACGACCGTGCGAATTGTACTAACCTGGTTGTGCATAGCACACTGGGCCTGTTATGAAACGTATATCTTAGCCTTATTTGCATTTCCTTCTTACTATTTCGACACTTGTTCCGCCTCGCCGTGCTCTCCATGAAACTGACCTTCCCTCCATTTGTGCTTTCCTATTCGCATACAGGTCCACGGAATCGGACGACTCACATACTGCCTGTGACTCAGATGCCCTCAAGACCAGAGTACTGCCTCTTCCTTGCAAACACAAGGGCCGGGACTCCACCACCACCGTCGCACCGTGCAACACTCACCGAACAATCGAATCAAACATTACACTTACTACCATGACTACAATGAACAGTAGTCCGGCATTACTGAGTTCTCAGACCAGTTCCGTGCTCGACCAAACGCATCCCTCATCAGTCATGGCGGCAAAGCGGCGTTTCTGCATGGAACCACCCAAGCCTTTGATCATCGACCCGAAGCAGTTCATCAGCAACAAGAATCGTGAGCGTACCACCACGAACTCGCTGTCAGATTGCACTGAATTCACACATCCTATTCAAGAAGTGGAATTGCTCCGACGCCTCACTCCGCCGTCTAACGGCTCACCCTTACACTCCCCCGGTGCCTTGGTTGTTCGTGATTTGCCACTTGAAGCGACTCAAGTGCCACTCAACAGCTCCACACCACACACTTCTGACTGCGACGTGTTCGATCCCTTTCCAAACTCACATCACCTGCATTCCGTCATTGTGTCCACGCCGTCCCCAGCCGCCTCCTTCGCCCCTCTGGAACAGCTCCGTGATATCGATTCTTTGTCCACCACTACCACCACCACCACCACTGAACATTCATCCACAGAAAGGTTATCGGAGACAGACGATCTAGGTCCTAATATCTCTGCGTGCCCCCTACCTGCTCAAACCCCTTGCTTGTGCCCCGTGGTAGACATTCCAGCTGTCGATGCGTTTGTTTCCAAATCGACCGGAATTCTTATACACCCGACCAGTTCTGAGGGCTCGGATGTGACTGATACGAGTAGCGCTGATCTGGACTCAGCCGTCGTCATCCGACCTATCCAGACTCGAGCACCGAGCATTATCATTCAAGACGAACGCCTTCCTGAACCGCGATCAAGTCCCACGGAAGACACCAGTTCCGCTGACTGTACACAGAATGATCAGCTGGCTCCGATCGTGTCCGCAGGGCAAGAATCATCTAGTAGTTCGCTAGTCTACGGCTCTGCCCATTCAATGGTCGGGAGTGACGTTCGAATCCCTCCCATGCCTCTTTCACTTCTGCAGGACAGCAAAATACATCTCCCAAAAACCTCGTCTGAGGTTGGCTGTGCATGCGCGCCTGTCTTTGTAAAGGATTTCTCCCAAGGGGCGGAAAACCTATCTAGAACACATTCACTTGTCTCCCCTGACAGACCTCGCCCGCTTGCTGGTGCACACTCCTTTAGTGTACCAAATTTATCAGATTTTCTTAGGTCCACCAATTTTGTTGAACCTAGTGAATCGAAAGTTCAGTGCTGACTCCCCTAGATACCGCTTTCTTGTTGCCAAACACATTTCTACGTGCAATCACCACACCACATGTCGTCTGGGCTCTTGGCACCGTGCTCGTCATTACCTGTCCATGTAAGTCCCCCATATTGCATATTGATTTATCTTGCGCTCATAGTCAGTCCTCGAACTCTCCTAAACTTTCCCACGTCACTGAAATTGCAGTTTTTATTGTTGTTGCATCCGTTTGTCGTGACTCGCATCCGCAGGATAACAGCAAATAGCATTATCGAGGAAAGTGCGGCAGGATACAAAGAAAAGGGATTAGGAAAAAACTGGTAACTTAACCAGACAAGAATACTGGAGTATCTGAGTGCAAAATCGAGCGCAGGAACGTCACTGGCTGCGCGACTGGGCCATCTATGAGGGGGGAAGGTCTCTCTAATCGCTGCTTTGCATCATCTCGGAGCCCCGATCAACGAAGACGGCACGCAGCAGCCTCATGCCCTTATGCTACATCGTCGACTGCCCGCTTCGCACTTTCGCCCAACTTGGTGCAGCACAGGTGTATATTGCACGTCAAGGAAGTCGATCAACTGGCATACGAAGGATATGACTCAGCCAACGTAAGAGGTTAAAGTTTGCTAGACACTTGATTAAAGCACCAGGAGGTTTCTTGCCAAAAACTAACTGACGGATCTCAGCACCCATGATCAAAGATGGTCAATCTTTTAATGTCTTCAGTGCGAAATAGCCAGGTCTATGAACCGGATAGTAACACCGAGCTTGCTGTAACACTATACACCCTACCTTGCACTGACAGACTGATATCATACCGTCGCCATAGGTGGTTGAGTCTGAAAAGCCACGCATGCGTTGCTGATACGTGAGGCATTCTCCTCATCGATGCGACTCCCGTAAGTGACTCGGTTACCAAGGTGAGTGAACTAATTGACCACTTCTATTGGCTGTTCGGTGATAGCTAGAAGTGGTGGCGTATCGGTCCAGTCTTACAACAATACTTTGCACTTTGTAGGTGTAAATTACATGCCCAAGCGTGCGGTTCTGCGCTTTAGTCTAGCCGGTGACGCTTCGTTAGCCTTTGGGTTTGACGTAAGAAGAACTACGTTTTTCACATACTCAAGCTTTGCTGCTTGATTGTATGGCAAATGTTTCAATTCAGAAGAGGACAGATTCTTTTATGATCATTTCGCTCATATGTTTAAGAGGAAATGAGATATAGCACAACTCTGGCTCACTCTACTATTCCCCGGGGACTTGGTAGACCGTTACCCGTAAACCCCTCTATCTGGTCTTGGGAGTCACGGTAGAATGATTTCATGATGGTCAGAAGTTTCTTTGGCACACACCGCAGTCCCTTTTCAAATGGTTATACTCAACGAATCACATGTCCTTCTGGAGCTGGTGATGCGATCACCATTGTTTGGGAACATCACTGCCAGAGCTGATGTGGTATGTTTCGTCCTTTTCGTCTCAATATGGTCTCAAACTTGCATGATGAATGTGAGCTTGATGCTTGTTCCCGAGCCATACAATAGGCCTGACTGTGCTCGACACTATTCTTGCTCAGGTGCCTACCAACCTCTCTACACCATCTCGATAGTCGATTCCGAGATCTGCTACGCCTGACCCTCGCGAGTGGGCTTGACGCGATACCTGATTCCGTTCGTTGATGAATTTTATTTCTCTAATGACGATGCGGAGCGTAGACCAAACAAATCGTACGAAACGGAAATCTGTCGAATAGCACACTTGACCTTGACGCATGGTCTGAGCAGGAGTAGTTAAAACACCTGTTGTAACCCAGGTTCTTTGACGCAAAACTAATGATAGTTGATAACCTGCAAATTGCTTTGTATTCATAATGCGACAAAACAGATACAATACGGCAGGCGGTAGCGGGCATAACCGTTACAGCGCTAATCGACAGGCTGTCAAATGGGATATCCTTCAATCTTGAAGCGTAAAGGACATGTCAATCGTACAAATTAAAAACCTCAATGTCTAAAACTGCAGATGTTTAGAGCACGCATGCTTGAAACACGATATAGGAATGTTGGTGGGTGAGTTCGGGATTACGGGTACTCATCCTCAAATGGACGACCCCATTTGGGGAAGAAATCACAACTCCTGCCACATTTTTATGCTGCCTCACGCAGCATGGTCACAGAACACCATTCGGATGGATGCCCTATTACTTTCCGTATCTGGTGAGGTTAATGTAGCGTTCTTTTCACTTGCACTGTTCCCACAGTTGAGTCGCGATCACTCTGTGATTGCAAAGGCACTTTACGTCCGATTTATCCAGTGGCGTCTTGTTCTTTGATATTTCACACTTGTTGCTGATGTTGGAAGAGAAATTGAATACGCGAAGAGACCATCGTTATACTGCAGTGAAATGCTTCGACAACCTCGTATAGAATCACTTCGATCCAACGTGATAGAAGAAAGACATCAGCAATACACCGGAACGCAGTACAGGTGCTTCGCTGCCGCGCAACCACCACCAGTCGCACGTGGGTTAAGGATACTTCGAGGATCACCCCATCTCTACAGAAGCTCGAACCCCCGCGCCCTCGGATTACCAGGCAAGCTTGTGATCCTTAAGGTATCCAACTTTGTTCCCATTAAGCTTTCTGACATAACTTGTAAATGACGCTTATGATCCTGCGGACCACTCACGGGCTGCTCCTTTGATGCAACCGTTCGCGTCTCCGATTACCTGACTGATGTGCGTTAGGTATTAACGCAGAAGGCGTTCGACACTGAGAAGCAAGTGAGTGGAAATTATCGTTTGGAGAGATTTGTTGTTCCCGCAATCTCCGGACGCAATCTATGCCTACCGGTTAGTGTCTTGACACAAATCAAAATTATGCTTGTACCACTGACACCCCTTCCTCTTTCCCACCCTGATATGAGCTCGTCGAATACCCTATTTACCAGCCATCGAAATAGCATTCACGCATAGACTGATAGCCTTCCTGTCATGCGAACCTAAACAACGCGGTACGCATTACACGCAATAGTTGTTTTGACTTTCCGCAAGACGTGAGCTATCTGACAGTTGGTCTGTCCTGCAATTGGGCAAAGTCATTCTCTATATATCGGAACTGTGTAGCAATTTATTGGACGCGCGGCAAGCGGTACATTGCTATACCCCAAATTGGAGTAGATTTGAAGATGGAAAGATCCATGTGACTAGTCCTTTTCAACAATGCATTGAAAAACTAGTCTTTCCTATTTGGACTTGTCGGCACTCTGGGAATGAAACTCCTATGGCGTTGTGGTAAGTGGCCGCTACCTTATTTAACATGTCCGCGCTACACAGGTCAAGAGCTGTTCAAGTAAAGTAGTCCCCAGGATCACTGGGTCGTGTTACCAACCGCAGGTCAGGTCTTACAGCTCAACCAAGAGAATTGGACAGGTAGATTGCATTGAGTGTGCGCTGGGCGTGCTAATGGTCACCTGTTAATTGGTCACCGCATATTTCACCCCACCCAAAACGACCTCGTCACATGTGTCACAGGAAGGTAGGACGAGATTCGCTCGCAGCCAACAGTGCGCCGCACACTGTGTTGCTCACAGGTGTATAAAACTAAGCCCCATGTACCTTTGTTAGGTTTTACGGCTATCGATGAGGTCGTTGACTGGGTCCAGGAAACGGCTATTCGTTGCTGAGGCAGAAGGGGTGCACCGTCTTATCCACCATAGTGTTGGGTTCAAACGGTGGTTCCGACCCCTTCTTCGCCTGATCGCTTATCTTATTGCTGGTCGGGTTGAATGTACGCACCGGTTCCGACGATGTCTCTTGACCGCACTCCTCGCAACCCTATTCCTTCGTGTTCACCTTGGACATTGAGTGTGTGAGTGAGGTAGCCGAAGTCACCCATGATTATCTGATATGTATCGGTTCCGTGTCTGCTCGCAGCACTGTGACAGACACCTCTGGGGGGTGTAAATGTCGCCATCTGTGCAGGGCGGTCAACGCCCTTGTGTGCCTCGGGAAGATTTGTTTCATCAACTGTGCCCCACAGGTTATGGTGTGAGTACAGCACGCAGCTAGCCGTCCCTCGTGAGGTGACTTAATCCATTTCAGACAAGCGCTCTACAATCTTCACATTCTAGTTTTTGAAGTAAAATGTGTTGCTGTGCAGTTATCGATCCTCTGTGATATAGCAAGTTCAGTTAGCTTATCAGTCTGTGTGCATTGGAGGACAACGATGCGGACTCGATTGTGGTTCCCATGACTTTTGAATCTAGGTCGGCTTGTGTCAGCTTGCTGCATTGGCGGTCATGCTACATGCCTGGATTGATTGGTCATAACAGCAGGGCAACCTTGGAGACCGTCCCATCGTGCACTCGGCATCAAGCAGGACTCGGCCACTGGAAATCCTCGGCAGTGAAAAAATAAAGAAAAGCTGAAATGTGTAAAAACAACCGGCAAAGGGTAGTCCCTTTTGTATGCGATTTATATTCGTGCATACATGCATAGATAGAGAGAGAGGGAGAGCCAGTGGCTCTGTCACGAAGTGCGCACACGCACTCAGTGTGTAGTAAGTGAGAATTTTTCTCTCTTATAGGCCATGACTGTGGGTTTCTGGGTAGGAACAATCTGCTAGCTAGGAATTTTTGTTGTTCCAGCCATCACTTTATTTTCTCCGTAATAATTTAGACGGCATTCCTTTTTAACCGACATTTTCCCGGCCAATTCTGATAGCTTACGTCCCCCGTTGGGACAGGGAGTTCATCTGTCTATCAACGACGCACTTGCGTTCAAACTGTCCACCCGCTGTTTCTTCACCTTATCGGGTATGCTGCATCTCCCTCCGTGCACTTCACGCAGAAGAACAGGGTGATTTTTTGACGGTGCAGTCGTTTTTACTGGAGGTTCTCCGGCCCATACTCGTTTGAGGGAACTATGGCCGTCTAAATCAGTTGTCCTAACGCGAATGGACGCAGCACGTCTGCGGGGTGGCTACATTTCTCAACTACAGTCGTAATAACGAATT